TCTGCAGTCCAGAGCTCTGCAGGCGGCGGGCCCGCCCGCGCACAGCCTCCACGCGGGACAGAGCTGGGGGCACGCCCTTCTTGTTTCACAGTGTCCTGGGCTTCGGGGTGGCTCTCAAACCGGCCCCTCCTCCCCCAGCTGTGCGCATCCGACCACTTGCTTTAGTCCTCAGTCTTCCTCTTCAGACATGGCACCTGGACTCGGATGTCACCACAAAAGGGCATCTTCCCTTGTCCCTTAGTGGCTTAGCCTCCACATATGGTTCTCCTTCATCCTAGATTCGTGAAGATTCAAATAATGTTGAAAATTAAGATGGCTTATTCACCTCTGACCGGTGACCGACATTACACATCAGCTTCGCGGGCCAAGAGCCGGTAGCCCCGGGCGCCAGGGGAAGCATGGGGGAGACGAGGGAGCTCGGGCTGTGGAGTGGGGGACAGTGGCGGGGTGCTGACACGTGAACTCTCCCAAGGGCCCAGGGCTAGTTTGCATGCGCCGTTTCCTGCGTTTCATTTTCAACACCACCCCCACTCCCAATCTGATGTCCCATGATTTTGTTTCTCAGCCGTTTCGTCCTCACTCACTGGGACACTGGAAGTTTCTATGGGAAAACGTGGATTTTAGGGACAGCTTGATCTCGTGCAAATCATTCCATGCAGCTGTCAGATGCTCCCCCTAACCTGGGGGACAGCTCTTCAGCCCCTGGCGTAATGACACATTAGCAGAGTGTGACTGCAGCGGAGGCTGCTGGGAAACAGGAGGGCGGCATGCGTGACCGGAGCCTCGCGCGCTGTCGCCAGGTGGGAAGCCGCCCTGGGGGAGCCGCCTTGAGGTCCCGGGTCCTGGGGGCCAGGTGTATGGGTGGGCGCGACGGCCACCAGGGACGTTGGGATCCGCTCTGCGAGGGGCGTCTTCGGGCCTCTCGGCCCCTTGTTCCCTCTTCTATTTCTGTAACCTCACGCCGCGGGGTGACCCCGGGCCGACTTCCTCAAACCTCTGACGAGCCGCCTCTGCGCTCCGCGGTCAGCTCCTCGTCGATGCCGCGGTCCCTGGCGCGGCCGCTATGCTGCTGAGGCTCTTGCTGTTGACCTGCGGTGAGTAGCACAGCCCGGGGCAGGTGTGCGCCTCGTCAGGGGCGGGGGG